AGAGAGAGAGAGAGAGAGAGAGAGAGAGAGAGAGAGAGAGAGAGAGAACATCACCGCCATCCCTCCAAGGTTAGATTGGATTTCTCTCTCTTTCTCCCACCAATGTCAGCAAGCCACCGCCACTCAAAATTCATATTAGTGGTCCACAGGATTTAAAATTATGAGTTCGGTGGTCCCCGAGGTCCAAAAGGTTGGCGACCCCTGACCTAAGTTTTGCCCCCATAAACCTGGGGCAAAATGCAAAGTCCCAACCCCATTGAATATAACTGCCCTATCCACTCCTCACTTCGGTGTCATCTTTCCTAGCCCTTGATCTCTCTCCCTCTCCAACTGTGGGGTTGCCCCTTGGCTATCTCTGGTGTAACATGTGTGCATGTACAGCACATCCTGGCAGCAGAAGCAGGACACCCTTTCAAGAGGGCCTCTGGGTATTTCAGGTCAGCTCTGTCCCATGTGGTTCTGAGGGTTGGTGTTTTTTTTTGTTAATAATAACTCCACTGTTTGTTTTGTCAGGATTCCAAAGAAGCTTGGGGTTGAAGGAAGGAAGGCTGCAAGAGCTGTTCCATGGAGAAGAGGCAACAGGATGTTCTAGGGTGGAAGCGGCATTGACCACAAAAGGCCATAAAGGTAAAAGAATGGACACAGGGTAAACCAGGAACCAATTGATGCAAGCAGCATAAGTTTGCAAAGTGCAATCTGAAATCCAGAATTTCTGGTTTCCCCCCTTTCACCCACTTTGTGCTATCATGGAGTTCAGAGCTGGTTGCTTAAAGCAGTGGCCACCAACCAGTGGGCTGGGGACAACTGGTGGTCTGTGAAAAACTTTTGGTGGTCCCCAGAGAAATGTCACCCCCAAAGCACCCCCCAAAGCAATTAATCCAGGCTGCGCAGGGACACAGGGCTGTGCTACCCACATGGCTGCAGGAACACAAGGCTTGCGTCGCTTGCACTGCGAACAACACGAGGTAGTGAGGGGAGGGGAGAAAGGGCAGAGGGGGGGAACTTTCCCCACTTGCCCCATGCACCTTGCCTGGCCACCCGTCTGCTTCTTTCTGCTTCTTACTTCTTTTGACTGCACGCAAGGAAAAGTCTTTCTTTCTCTCCCCCAAACTCCACCAGAAATGAGTCTTTGGGACCCTGCAAGGTATCCTGCTGCAAGAGGCTGCACCGGTGCGACAAGTCTCACAAAGACTCATTTCTGGTGGAATTTGGGGGAGAGAAAGAAAGACTTCTGCTGCTTCTGCTGCTTTCCTTGCATGAAGCCAAAAGTATACAACTATGTATACATTTATACTTATTGTCTTGTAAACAATTGGCAAATCAAATAAATAAATAAATAAAATAAATAAATAAATCAAAGTCTCTCTCTCTCTCTCGCTCCTCCTGAGAACGGAGCTGGAGATGGTATCCTGTGATCCCAAATAAAGAACGATCGATTGGTAGAAAAATGGTGGGGGATTTTCTTGCAGACTTATTTTGGGATTTTCCCAGGGTCTCTGGTCCGTGGGATTTAAAATTATGGGTTTGGTGGTCCCCGAGGTCCAAAAGGTTGGCACCCCCTGGCTTAAAGGGCAACCAGGAGTTGTTGTAAAGAGGCAAAACAGGGAAAGAAGATAACACTTCAGTTAGTTATTAAATCTATTTATTTTTTTAAATTTATATGCCTCCCGCCTCGCTGTTTGAGGTCACTCTGAGCGGCTTACAATACAATTAAAAAAATAGAGATATTAAAAACAATTGGAGTATAAAAACAGATAAAAATTACAAAATATTAAGTAGAGACTAAATGACCACGGGTTTAGAGTAGAATGGTAGTGGTGCCTTCTCTTGCCGCACCAACCAGCCTACAGCCTACAGCTTCTCCATAAGGGCCCCAAACCAATTGGCAGAGGCAATTTTAAGGCTCTTCCTGGAGGCCTGAAAAGTGGGAGAAGATCTCATCTCCAGAAGCCAGGTGTTCCAAAGGGCAGGGACCATGGCAGAAAAGGCTCTTCTATATCCCACCAGCCAAAATCCTTGGCTGATGTGGTCCACAGTAGGTCTTTCTACTAGAACAAGTGGGGTGGGCCAGTTCCATTGGGCAAGATAGTTCCTCAAATATCCTGTACCCGTATCAATAGAGCTGAGGAGTGGTGCAGTGGCCTAGAGGTGGAGCTCTCGCCTCACAATCAGGGGGCAGTGAGTTCGATCCTAGGTAGCGGCAGATATTTCTATCTCTGGGCCCAATGAGAATATATTTACTGAACAAAACTCCTCATTGGCAACAGGAAACAAAACTCCTCATTGGCAACAGGAAGGGCATCCGGCCATTAAAGACGCTGCTAGCTCCATTCAGTTGCCTAGACTCTACCCTGCAAGGGATTATCGGGTCGTTGAAAGATGATGATGATATCAGTACAGCCGAGCTGGACTCCTGGTAACTACACGGACATCCCAGGTGTAATGTTCTAAGACTAGGTTGCTTTGTTCTTTTAGAAATTTTAGGACTCCAATCATGTTCGTGCTGATCTGGGCAGTTGTGATATGGAGTCTCAAACATCTGTAGAACTCCACCTTAAATGAAGGAATCATAGCCCTTCTTGTCTAGAGATTAGCAATCAAAAAAGGCAAGAATGGCTCAGGGTCCAAGAACATTGCTTTGCCTAGGAGAAATGCCAAGCTACTGTATAGTGAGAACTGAAAAATCTTGGTGATATTTTTTTTATTGCACATATTTTAGAAGCAGACTCCAGTATTATTTGTGCAACACCATATAAATCCAGCTTCTAACTTCTTCCACCCATTTGAAAACATAATGGTTAGATATAATGTCATCTATATAGTTGCCAGTAACCGTCCTTGACTTATTCCATTATCGCACTTAAATGTTCCCCAGATATACAAACATTTGATTTGGTGAAAAAACACGCAGATGTAAACACACGACAGAACTTTCCTCTGCTTTTCTGTCCTGTTTGCTAAATCTTCATTTCCAGAAAAGAACAGTGGATCTGAAATTCTATTTTACTGGTGAGTTAATTCACCTTTATTTTATTTTGCTTTCCTCCAGATAACCCAGTGTCCCACTAAATTATAAAAATAATACAATACGATTGGGTGGGCAAAGGTGAATTTGAGTTCACAGCATTTGCTTTTAACTAAACTTATTGGATGGAATGGATTAGACAGCATCAGGGTATTCAATACTATCCTACACTGTGTAGTAGTTCATTTGTGGGAAATAATTTGAGAATGTTTTGTAGCCAATCTAGTGAATAATTCTCAGGCTGCAGTTGAACTTTTCTAAATCTTGTGTCCTCTATCTTGTCTAGAAGAAATGAGAAGCTTATAGATCAGTGTTCCGCAACATTAGTAAAATTAAAACATGCGGACTTCAATTCTCAAGATTCCCTAGCCTGCCATGCTAGCTGGGGATTTCTGGTGGTTCACATGACTTAAAGTGGCCAAGGTTGAGAAATACTACTTTAGATCTTGATATATTGGATTCCAACTCCCATTATCCCTGATCATTGACCACGATCAATAGAGCTTCTGATTGTTTATGCAGTCTACATGCAAATTTTCTTTTTTTCTCTCTCTTAATCGCAGAAACGAGAGTGGAGACAAATGGCAAGATTCCGAGATTTTTTGTAGATTAGGAATTCCTGTTTAGCTCATAGATGATTGCCTCTTTGCAACATGAAGCATTGGTTAGGTTCATAAATCACACTTGGTTGTAATATGATGTTTTTGCTTGGAATCTGTAACAATTTCAGAACACAATTGTGATCATTTGTAAATCATGAAATAGGGATTACGTAGTTAAAGTCATCCTTGTTTTCTTTATACTGCTTTGTTGAGACATTGAGACATTCAGCTATTGTGTTAAGATAATAACAATGGGTTTTATAATATGCAGGTTTTATGTCACTTCAGCAAGGTTGCTATGTAGACATTATAAATGACTAGGGTGGAAATGATTCTAATTCTAAGAGCTGTGAGGAGTAACATGATGTTAAAGAAACCCAGAGATGCTTTCCCCCAACTAATATTTTACAGAAAACCTGCATAATTCTTCCCATCAGCATTACTGAGTTGCTCAGTTTACAGCATTCGTTACAAATATTATGAATAGATTCTATAGATCAGGACTAATGGAATACATATTGCTTGTTGAATGACTTTTCTTGTGAAGCTTCCAACAGAATTGCTGCTGTTGTAGGCCACACTTTGCTAATTGGGTTTCTTAGGGATAACATTGGTTACCTAACTTAGTTTGGGTAAAATAATATATAAACTATGTTAGTGAGTTTAAGTGTATGTATCACTTTAAACTGTAAACCAAGTATTTTGGGTGCGGTTGTAAAATCACCATAAGAGGGAACAAGAGAGCTCACTGTTTACTGGCTTTTACTGGAATGCTGACAATGATGGATTGATGGTGATAACTGTGTGTTTGCTGAGAGAAGAAAAGGGGTTTGATTTTTCTTCATATCTCTGACTGCAAAAGAGATATATCACTGGACTGATTGATTGTAAGTTTAATGAACTCTTTTTCGACACTGGACTTTGCAAACTGAATAACCCCCGGACTGACTGAACTTAGTGTATGACATATGGACCGTTTGACTATGCTATAACTCTTGCTGGAATAAAAACTATTTAACTTGCACAGTGTATCTGTCTTACTGAGTGTAAGCTACTACAACGTTTTGTCTCACATATCTGCCTGTCTGCTAGACTGCCGTTGCACGTTCTGCTAGGGTGTATATCCCTAACAGGGTTTCCTTTTTAGCTAAACTTACATTTTGGTGAAAATCACCTATCAGTGTATTCACCATGAATGGTGAAGACCGTTGTCAACCATATACTTTTCTTTCCCCAGAATTGGGAATTACTTGATCTGACCATGAGGCATTTCCTTTGGATGTTGTTCTTCCAAGGTAAGGAAGCAGGTTTGATTTGCCTCGATCAGTATGGTTTAAAACACATCACACTCCATTGCCCTCTCGATTTATGGTGAAACAGGGTCTAGAATTTAGGCTAATAGGGGTAGAGTTAAGATCAGAGCAAATTACATGGAGTCAACTGGGTAGATGGTATTTTTTTCATGTTTGCTCAGGATCTGAATTAACCTGAGCACCTTGAGGCTAGGATACTTTGGAATCACCTTGCTATTACAAACTGGAACTGTAGCTCTTGTGCTTGCCAGAATCCATTGATCCCAATATTCATAGATGGTGATGACATGTCATCTCCTTTATGTAGAGCAAACCTACATCAATTCTATATGAAGGCTGAAACGACATTTATTAATACTGGCCATAATAACAGAATCTTGCAACTCTGATTCTGCATTCTCCTTCTACTCTTGCATTGATACTCTTGTGAATTAGGGTACCGTCTGTTGGTTTCCCCCCTTGTTGCTTTGGTAATAGATCCTGCCTTATTTCTGCCAGGGTAATCTTCCTTGTTGTCTACATAGTGTTTACATTCTGGAATGCTCTTCACTTTGAGCTTCATGATTGATCTTTCAGGCATTTTTGAGCTATTGGATTTAATTGAGGCATTTCCTGGATGTATATAGCATGTATTGGTTTTCTGCATCAATACCAAAAAGCTGACCATGATTTTTCCTGTGCTTCTCCATTGTAGGCTTTTGGTGTTATGAATCCCCACTGAGGATAAACCCCAAATCTTTGGTGGCCTGGACAGGATCGTGTGTCTTAATCCCATGTCAGATTGAAGAAAGAATGCATTCTAAGAAAATTCTTGCCACCTCTGTGGTTTGGTATTTTCAGCCTATTTTGAATATGACTTTATTCGACTACGTTGGCACTGTCTTATACAATAATTCCAGAATCCCAAATGAGCATGCAAACCTACCAGGTCTTGATTTTCAGGGGCGAGTGAGGTTTGTTGGGGATTTAACAAAGGGAAATTGCAGTTTGATGATTACTCAGCTCCAGAAAAAAGACCATGGCACATATGGGATAAAAGTGACTGCATCTGTAGAAAATCAAACTAGTAGACAGATACTTTATGATTCAGCTACACTGAAAGTTTCTGGTAAGAACTTTGGCAGAACTTTTCATTTCTTCTCTGACCTGTATAGATATTGCTCTTTCATTTGGATATAATCTCTGTCTTATTTGACCCTGTAAACCCTTGTGGGGTGGAGTCTGGGCAACTGGATGGAACTGAGTGTTTAATGGCCAGATGCCCTTCCTGTCACCAGTGTGGAGTTCGCAGCAGATATATTCTCAGTGTGCCCAGAAAGAGAAATATCTGCCTCTACCTAGGATTGAACTCAGCCTCCTGATTGTTAGGCAAGAGCTCCACTTCTAGGCAACCACATCACTTTATATCATATCCATCATCTTGAAGTCTTATTTGCAAGATCTCCATTGAGGGTTTTCCATTCAGAAATGTTGAGTTGCTATCACAGCAGAGAAAGAGCACAGAGAGCTACTCATGGAATAAAAATGCATTGGTCTATATCTTGCTGCAGACTGGCAGAAAGATGTGATTTATGGAGAGTCAAGTTGCTGATGTTGAAGGAATTTCTTGTTGTCTAGGAGCACTTAATAAAGTTAAGCAAATCCTAAAATAACCTTGTTGCTCTGGTTTTCTTTCCAACCCTTTCAACCTTATTACATTGTTCTGCTGCATTAATAAACATGCCATTTAGTACCAGAATTCTTATTTATCAGGCCAGAGATTTTCTTCCTGTTTTTTATCCCTTGTTATTTTCTTGGTACAGATTTGTTTCCAAATCCCACGTTGGAAATCTTGAAATGCCAAGAAAGATGGGCCCTGCAAGTGGTTTGTTCGGTGCCTTCCCATTGCCCAGAAGATCCAATAACAATGAATTTCAAAGGTCTAGAGAAGTATTATTTGACTGCAGAAACTATGATGATGGATGATGGAGTACTCCGGAGGATAGTCACCATTCAACCAGCTGCAAGATCTAAAAAGAAAGCAATAACCTGCCAATTGAGCAACAAGGACATGAAGTCATCCATCACTCAGGAGCTAGAAATGAAAAGTGAGTGTGAAGTTGAGAAGAAACGAGCAACCTTGGGTGGGTTTTTCTGACAAGAGTAGACAATTCAAGTCACATCTCACCAAGCTTGATTCCTGGTTATGAATAAGGCCATGAAGGTTTTTTTTTTTTTTTAAAGCAGCTGAGATAGCATTTGACACGGTCTCTTTCAGGGACATTAAAAAAATTACAGCATGACTGCATTTTTGGGGAATATACATTATGTTCTGAAATATTATCACTGTTTTATTTTCTATACAATAAGTTGGTCCTCAACACCAATAAGACCAAGGAGCTTATAATGGACTATAGAAGGAACAGATCAGACATCCAGCCCTTGCTTATCAATGGAGACTGAGTGGAGCAAGTGGCCAGTTTTAAGTTTCTGGGTGTTACCATAAAAGAGGACCTGACCTGGGGTGCTCACATTTCAGCCCTGGTCAAAAGGGCCCAGCACAGATTAAACTACCTGAGACTTCTCAGAAAACAACAACTGAATGAAAAACTGCTTGTGACCTTCTACTGCTGCACCATAGAGAGTATCTTAACTTACTGCACCTCTGTATGGTTTGCCAATTGCAAAGGGGCAGATAGGACAGCGCAGAAGATCATTGGTTGCCCTCTCCCCTCTTTGGAAGAGCTTTAGAGCTCTTGCTGCCTTGAGAAAGTTCAAAACATTCTCAAAGATCCATCTCATCCTGGGCACCCTTTTTCTTTTAATTATTACCATCTGGCAGATGGTACAGAATAATAAAAACTAGGACAAATAAGCTGAAAAATCGCTTCTATCCCAGGGCAGTAGCTCTTTTGCATTCTGCTGTATAGTGCAGTGTTGGTGTGGTGTCGAGGGTTTCCGGTTCAATTGTGTAGAATGTGAAGGATGTGTGTTTGTGCTTTATTTTCAGTCATAATGTACACTGAAGATGATATTTAATTTGGTTGTATGAGGTGCAATGACAATAAAATAAACTGAACTAAACTGAACTAAACTAAACTAAACTAAACTAAACTAAACTAAACTAAACTAAACTAAACTAAAACTAAACTATACAAAGTCCCGCACTGACGTGTTGCCTTTTTTTTTTCCAGATTGTCCCAATGATGTCCAGGTTTCTGTTGTGAATAATCTGCCCATAAAAGAAGGAGATATTGTCACTTTGAACTGCTCTGTGGGTAGTAGTGTCTCTGGTACCATCTGGTTCAACTGGTGGAAGATGAATCTCCATGTAGCTAATTTTAAATACAGCAGTTTGAAGCAATTGACCTTCCCTGCACATTTTGGACCAGTGACATCTTACAAATGTGAAGCGTGTAATATTTATGGCTGCACTTCATCTCCACTGCTCACTGTGGATATTTTCTGTAAGTATTACCAATTAGTTTTAATTGGCGGAGAGCCTTGAAACACCAATGACTGGCAAATACAATGTGTTCAGGAGATGAAGCCATTAGAAGAGGGAGATTGTAGGTGCTTCTCAACCAGTGTGAGTTAAGAGACACCCAAGTGCGATGGGATTTCCCTCTATCTATGTAGATAGCAGAAAAATCGCAACCTATCATGGGTTAAAAAAATAAAAGTTTGTTGTCCTTCCTGAAAAGACTCACCTGGCATCTGTACCAGTGGTGGGATTCAAAAAGTTTTACCACCGGTTCGGTGGGCGTGGTTTGGTGCATGTGCCAAATGCGCACTTTGCACAGGCTCAGGGGCATTCCAAGTCACCTCCTGCAAGCTTGCACTCCCCTGGTTGCTTCAGCAGCTACCATGCGGCACTCTTATGTGCTGCGCAAAGCAGCTGTGCTTCAAAAGCAGAGGATAAAGGTGAATATGGGAGCTCGGATGGGTGGGTGGGCGCAACAGCAGAACGGCAGAGAGAACCAGTTTGATCTCCGCTGCTCATCAACACTACCAGCTAGGCCGAACCGGGCTGAACTGGTAGAATACCACCACTGATCTGTACTCTCTCTGTGTGTATGTGTGCTTTTGAGTTATTGTTGACTTCTGGTCACAACCTGGACTACTCCTTGCATTTTTCTTGACAAAATTTCAGAATTGTCTTGCCATTACCCTCATCCTAGGGCTAAGAGAGAGTGACTGGCCCACTAACTGGCTTCCTACCTGAGGTAAAACTCACGTTCTTCTGGTTTCTAGCCCAGTGTCTTAATCACTATATCAAACTGGCACTACCTTGCCACGTACTTCAATCACAGTCCTAGTCTCCATATAACTTCAGTATCTTATTGCTCTCTACAGAGGATTTGCAGTGCGCAGGCCTATGTGGGACCATCTTACCTACAGTTATAACCAGTAATATGCTGGTCAACGTTTAACAACCAGTTCTGTCATCTCCACTGCTACCACTGCACCATAGCTGATCACTAGGTGTCCTGGCTCAGTTCTGTTCTCAACTGGCTTGCAAAATTCAGAAAATTTTAACAGTCGGTTTTACAAGCCAGTATGAGTCAGGTTCAACCCATCCTTGGTTACAATACATGAAAATCAGGTGAAGGCAAACGTTTTTGCAACAGGTGATGCTAATCTTATGCCTTTGTTTTATCTTGTCGCAGTTGCTCCCAGGGAAGTCAACATTTGGAGAAATCCAGGAGGCCAGATTGATGAAGGCATGAATGTTGTGTTGCATTGTGAAGTGGGAGAAGCAAATCCCACAAATCTCACTTATACGTGGTATAAAGATGGGAAAATGATTTTACTGGATTCTCCCCATGCATACTTGAACCTTACAAACATAGATCCAGCACAATCTGGCAGCTACTGGTGTGAAGCCAGTAACAGTGTGGGCAAGACACTTTCTCCAACAATCACACTTCATGTTATCTGTGAGTAAAAGCATAGTATGACAGTGGATTTATGCATAATATGGCAATGGATTTATGATCAAATCTGGGTCCTGTTATTAATCTTTAGTGATGGATGTTTCTGTAGCTTTAGTTGGACTTGGAGGTAAAGTTTCCCTTCATAACTTGTTGATTAAAAATTGGCAGCTGGTGAACTTCCAGTTGAACTTCCCTGAAGACAGACCGCTGACCGCGATTGTCCACGGCTTTGGTGTGTGCTTCTTCATTGGAGAGCCCCGATTGTCTAGATCTGGGACAGAAACTGTCTTGTAGGGGTGGCGGAGGAAGGGGAGATTGCCAGCTGGGTAGAGGGGAGCTGCATATCCCCTCCCTGGCTTGGCAAACACTCCCTCCCGAAGATATCTGAAGCAGTGGACTAAAATGGCCACCCTGAAGGGGAAGAATCAGCTGGAATAAGATTGTGCAGGAGGAGTGGTGAAAAAGAGGACAGCAGAGAAACCAGGAGAATTTTGCAATAAGGTACCCCAGTTTTGAAACCTTTTAAAATTGTTAAAAAAGTGGATTTAAGCGGCGGACAAAGAAATTAAGAAAGAAAAATTCTGACAGATGATGTGGCTTTGTACCCAAAAGGAAGAAGCCGGAAGAAGAAACTTGTATTTGAAATAATTAAATATACAACCCTGACACCAAACAGGTTTATTAAAGCTGGACTGGGCTGTGTCAAGGTGGAAAATAAAATTTGAAAATGAATGCTTGGATTTACTGATATTGGAACTTTAAAAGTTTGAATGAGTGAGAAAAATCGGGGAAAAGGAAAAGAATTGACTTTAAATACAGCGAAGAGTGCCATCTAGTGGAGAAGGGAATTGTTTATACATGTCTCCTTCTATTTTAAAATTTGGATCCATTAAAGATTTGCTTGATACAAAAATAACCGGAATTAGGATATTATAAAAGAGGGACCTTGGAAAGTGAAATGTGAAATGTGAAAATAAAGGGAAATCGTGGAAGTGTTTGGTGTTTTTGAATTACAACTTTAATCAATGGATATTGAAAAGTGGAACTAATCTGGAAATCTTTGGAAGAAGAGTCAATAAGAGTAAAATGTTGGAAAAACTTTTATAAACATTGTTTAAAGATGGCAGGAATGTTACTGGACCTTAAATTGGAACTTAAAAACATGAAAGACGTGTTACAAAAAGAAGGCAAATCATTTGGTTTTGCGTTGCAATTTTTTGAAATGAAGGTTTCAAAATACCAAGAACAAGAAGAAGAGAAATCAACACAAGAAGCAGCCATCTTAAATGAACACTTGAATCAACAGAAACTTAAGCAAAGGAATAATAGAAAGAGAATTAATAATAGATGGTTCAACATTGTAATTAAAAGGGGGGGTTATTGTAAAAACCGAACAAAATAAAAGGAAACAGCAGGAAAGGAAACTTCAGTGGGGAGTAATGAAAAAGAAAGTAGATAGAAATTGGAGTGATAAAAAGAGGGCAAGAATGAAATGGGATTTGGATAGAAAGGAATATGGCAAGCACATAACAATGAAATGGAATTGTTTAATTAAAAGGCACAGAGATAATGGTTGATTGAGAATTACAAGAAGGGATTCTGCAAGAGTAGAAGGACTAGTTTAAATAAATAAGAAATGATAAGATTGTTTAGAAAATAGTGGAATATAGAATATTAAAAGGGGAGATAGGGACTGATATTGTTTTGTTATTGCTGTGATTGTTTGCCTTTTCTTTTTTATGATATGAAATTAAGAGAAATAAGCAAAACAAAGATATTAATAATATTAAATGAATTAATAAACAATAACAAGAAATGATAAAATTTGTTTAGTAGAGTATTAAGATGGGAGGTGGGGACTGATATTGTTTTGCTATTACAGTGGCAGGAGTAATTGTTGAAGGGAAAACAATATTAGTTCTTATGAAATGATGGGATTAATTATGTCTGTTTTATCTATAATTTTCTGAATCTAGATATATATATTTTAGGTAATGGGAAAGGGAACTTGCAGACCCAGGTTTAAATGGAATATACGTAATGTATTAACTACTATAAAGTTATTATTGTTTCTATTTCTTCTTTTTTAAAGTGTTAACTCAAAGTTAAATTATGGGAATCTTAGGGGGGATTAATTATGTGATATGTCTAACCACAGGGATAGCACCTTGAAATTGGCAATAATAGGGGTGTTGCATTGTTGTTGTTATTTTTTTTAATTTATATTGGAAATGTGTGAATTTCTCAAATGATGAATTAAATATAGATGAGTAAATTGCAGACCTGATAGACTAAGAAGATAAAATATAATGAATATGAAGATATATAATGATGCATTAAGGATTTAAAGAAATAGATTAAGCAATGTATTGGAAAAAATATATAAGATGGGAAAAGCTTGATGATTAAAATCAAAGAAAATCAAGATAAGTTATTAAATGTGAAAGATGAATAGGAAATATAAGTCAAGTTTGTAATGGAAATGTGTTAACCTGGAATCATGCTGTTCACTGAAAAAAGATTTTTTTTTCTTTCTCTAATATGTGAAAATTGAATAAAACTTTTGGAAAAGAAATTGGCAGCTGGTGAATGGAAGCCACATTAATCACAAATAAAATGCTTGTATTTTCAGATATATACATGTCATGATTTGAAAAACCTTTTCAGTTTGTGATTTTCAAAGGCAGTGAAAGCCATAAAAAAGAGGTATCAGAACCAGTGCATTGTAGTACTCCCTACTGTGAGAAAATACTAACATTGGTTCTATCATAAATAATAAACATAGAAGAGCATTGGATTGTGTCTAGCATGAGAAATATGTATCTTCCAGATATGGGATACATTAATTATACCATGAAGTTGTTTCTGATTCCTAAGCCACCACACAGATATTCTCTATGAGCTGTTTCACCTAACATTTTATGATTTTTGGCCAGGTATACTAAAAATCTCATTAAAAAAAATTAGGACACATCCTGTTTTCAAAAGTTGCCTATTCTTAATGAGCAACATTTAGATGGGCTACAGAAATATTTGTAAATCATAATGATTTCCCTATTGCAGGTTTCCATTGTGATGAAAATCCAATAAGCATAGTTCCTAATTCTTTCGTTGCATGGGAAAAATCCTGCGTGGTGATTCCATGCCACATCAGTCAAATGCTTAGTTCTGGAACAGTCAATGCCATAGGCATTGTGTGGAATTTTAAGCCTTTTGGAAACAATAGCTGGAGCAAAGGGAAAACTACCCTGTTGTACAACAGTTCTCAGAACTCTGGAACCATCACAACTGTATCTGATGATGCTTTACCAAGCCGGATATGGTTCCTTGGGAATTTAACAAATAGAGATTGTAGCTTGCTGATCAATCCAGTGCGAATGCTTGACAGTGGCATGTATGAAGTAAAGGTGATTGTTTCTGTTGACAAATATCCGTGGCAATTCAAGCGGTTCCTTACAGCTACATTGAATGTTGCAGGTAAGAAATATGCAATATGAGTCTCACCTGACAGAAAGCTGTTTTCTATCTCTCTGTGTATTTTTTCCCCAAGAAGCATCTTTGGTAATTGGTAGCTTCTAGTATACAAATTAATACAAGATTAAGGCCAGATGATGTGTATACAAAATGTTTTATGAGTTGACACTCACTAAGTTTTTATACATCTTGGTTCCCATCAGGCTTTCTATCCCTCATTGTCTTTTTTTTTTTTTAATCTTCCCTCTCTTTTGTCTATATTTTGGATCATCTTCAAAGCTTCAGGTCAAGGAAGGATAACAGAAACAGAATTCAATTTATCACAGAATCGTAGGGTGTTCATCCCAAAGTGCATAGCTAAATGTCTATGGAGATTCTCAGTCATCCAAGTCATGATTGGCAACTGGACTTTCTGGTTTTTCTCTGAAAATGTTTTGTTTACCGCCTCCTCCTCCTCCTCCTCCTCCTTCTTCCTCTTCCTCTTCCTCTTCCTCCTCCTCCCCCTCCCCCTCCCCCTCCTCCTCTTCCCCCTCCCCCACTTCTTTTTATCTGAAGAAGCTTCTTAGATGAGAAGCAAAACAGCTTCAAAGAAAAATCAGAAAGTCCAGTTGCCTCTTGAAAAAGCACCTCTGGGACACAGAATTGTAGGTGTATTCACACCAACAGTTTGGTCATTGAAAAAGCTTATACTGTAGCATGGAAAAGCATGCTTAAACTAGTTGTTTTAGGACTTAGCATATGATGAAAACCCAGGTTGTTTTATCCATTTATAAGTCAATCTAATGGGTAACCCCAGAAAAAGAATTAATTCACTAACCATGTAGCGAATAAAATAAACAGCTTGGTTTGGTAACCACATGCAAATTGATTGTTGAATTCATTTGTTTTCTGGGTTTAAACGATCTATTTTTATTGATTTTGCTAGGCTTATGGACTATCCAGTCATCAACAACTCTGTGCAATATATATATATATATATATATCCCAATCCCCATAAATTGGTTTAAAAACAATATAATAAAAATAAAACAAATCAATAATACTATACAAGCCACGTACAACTTCAGGGACAATAATTTATATAACCAACAATTAAAAGAGTTTTCATTATCAGAGAGAACAAAGTCATGGCATCCCAGCCTTTGCTATATCACAAGCTAGCAAAAAAAAAAAAAAAGGCTAGCTGAGGTACACAAATAAGCCACCAGGTCTTTAAGAGGCCTGGGTTAAGGATGCTGAACAAACCCCATAATTGAAGAGGATGTTAGTTTTTAGGAAAAAGTTGCATAGCTACCTCTCTCTCTCTCTCTCATGGATGGTTTTATTGCATTCTCTGTATATTGTGAAAAAGTGACCAGATGATTCCTACGGTCCTTTCCACCCTACAAGTTTATGATTTACAGCAGGGGTCCCCAACCACCGGTCCGCGGACCGGTACCGGTCCGTGGAACAAGTCCTACCGGGCCGCTGGTTTGCTGGGCGCCGCCATCTTTTTTTGATGAAAAAGTGCTTCCGGTGAGCTTTTCCGGGTAGAAAGCTCACCGGAAGCACGTTTTCATCAAAAAAAGATGGCGGCGCCAGTGCTTCCGGTGAGCTTTTCTGGGTAGAAAGCTCACCGGAAGCACGTTTTCATCAAAAAAAGATGGCGGCGCCCAGCTGATGCCGGTACCGGGCCGCGGCGCCCAGCTGATGCTGGTACCGGGCCGCGGCATAAAAAAGGTTGGAGATCACTGATTTACAGAATCCAATTTTCCTGCTCCATAGAACTTCCGTTTTAGTGTGACTTGCTTGGGAATTCTGGGAGTTGAAGTCCACAAGTCTTAAAGTTGCCAAGGTTGAGAAACACTGCCCTATTTGAACAGATATAGGAAAGGACCATCCATCATGCTATTTATTGATAAGTACCATTGTTGAATAGCTGTTACTACTGAGAGGTTTTATTCCAAATCTGAAATATTGGAGATCACCCAATTCATGACTTTTTCCTTGGTAATTATAGTTTCATGACTTGGAGAGGAATTTTATAGTCTCCTCCTTTATATTCTCTTCTTCAGCTTCTAATTTCAGCGTCTTTTGTGCTCAGTCTAAAAGTGTGCTATTGATTTTGCCTTTTTTGTTTGCAGAGTTACCTCCAGAGCCCACCTTGGAAATTCTTCCTGTGAACATCCAGGAGAAGAAGATAACCCAAGTGAGATGTTCGGTACCTTACCATTGCCCTCATAAGCTAATAAACCTGACTTTCACTGGTTTAGAACACTTTCCACCACAAAAAAGGACAGTTGGAAGTGGAGTGATTCAGACCACGCTGAGCTTTGAACCAACATGGGATGACAATGGGAAAATGCTGAGCTGTTTGTTCAAGTCAGGGGCAGAAGTGTTATCTCAAAGCACTGTGAAGTTGGACGTGAGATGTAAGTGTACAGTGGAGAAGGAAATGGCCCCTTTGAATGATTGTGCCAGCAGGACAGGATTTGGGACTAGAAGCTTAGGAATCTACCCAGCAAATGGACAGAAGGCCCCCAAGCATAGCTGTTGTGGTTCGCTGGCAGCCAGTCCAGCCGGCAATGGAGTCAGACAGTGAGGAAGAAAGGGGACCATTCAGGGAGTCTGGAGAGGACTTGGACAAGGGTCCTGCATCTGATGCAGGGATGGGGCCAGGACCACCTGAGAGTGGGGTGCTGCCTTTGGAGCTTTCGGAGTGTGGCAGCAGCAAGGCAGAGGACCCAGGGGAGCCTGTTCCCAGTGCCTGTGTGCGCAGAGGTGCTAGAAGGCGAGAGCAGCTGAAACAAAAGGGGTGACTTGGGAGTAAGGCTGGGAGGTGATTGCCCCTCCCATAAGGGATAAAAGTCAGACCTCAATGATGAAATCTTTGCAGGAAGTTCAATAGATTCCGAGTCCTCCTTGAAACTCCGTGTACTCTGGTTGGTTTTTTCTGGTACTTTGGTTGGTTTCTGTTATAATTAATTTGGATACTTCTGTTTTTGGTAGCATTCCACAGCACTGAAAGGTGTGGGCTTATCTTGGGGAACTGTTTAAGATTAGTTCTGGCTGAGAATGAAAGTAATTCTCAGCATTGCATTAAAATAGATTTTGCTTTTAAAACAAGTTTGTGTTTCATTATGTTTGATGAAGCCTGGGTCAGAACAAGGGCATGGTTAATTCTGAAACTAACGTAGTCATATGCGTGTGAAGAGGGGCCAACCAAAAAAGACCCTAGTTTTGAACTATGCAGCTGACTGATTTAGGGATTGAGAAAGTTCTACTCAAGATGAGTTGAATTCCATGACTTTTATAGGAAAGTAGTAAGTCTCTTTTAAGTTGAGTTGACTCCAATTGACTTAATGGACATATTCACATGATTTTCTAGTCAGCACTATAGAAATTGTCATTTTTTTAAAAAAAATCTAGTACAGGGTTTGTTTGCTTTTTTTGAGTTCTCAGTCAAAAGTGCACAATCCTAATATTTCAAGATGATCTCCCATCCAGTGGTGGGATGTTGCCAGTTTGCACTGGTTCTAGCAAACCGGTAGCTCTGGTGAGCGGTTGGCCCTACCCCCTCCACCGCCGCCATTTCCTGTCCTATATTTCCTTGTTTTTTTTAGCTCAGCTATTCGCGCGGCCGAGCAGATTGCCGCGCTTGAGCTATTTTACTCACCGGTGCTAACATGGAAGGTAAGTTTTTAAGGTTCAAATGGGCGGTTTTTGAATGCTGCCTGCAAAGCGCACTCTCATAGACCAATAGTAAAAAAAATTTGAATCCCACCACTGCTCCCATCAAACTATTAAACAGGCCTGACACAGCTTAGTTTTTCAAGATCTGCTAAAGTCAGTAAGCATTACTTTCTTCTAGGACCTCAGTGAGCTTGCACGAAAGCTGAAAGCTACGAAACTCCAGGAATGAATCTTGTGAAGCTCAATGGCATTGATATCTCTGTGTATATATATAAAAGAGCCCACCAGCATGCTATGCTGGACGTTGGGTGTTCTGTTGCAATTTAGTTCTTTCCAAAAAGGGGAAATAGCATGGAAAGTGAGACTGTTTAAATACACAATGTAAACATAGTTCTTTTTTTTTCTGTAATCTCAACATGGTTCTCTTTTCCTGTACTGTAATCTCATCATATGTGTGCTTTGCACTGGACCATTCTTTTGATGGATGTAGACCGTAGAAGCTACAGTGAAGAAGGCAATGTGGATTAAAAAGAGGAATTAGACCAAAGTTCTCTATCTCAGCAACTGTAAAATCTTCGGCTCCAACAAGTCTGCTGGGAAATTCTGGGAGTTAAGTTCCCTGATATTTTTAATATGTGAATTTAATCAGGGATTGTTTCAACCAGTTTATTTTTTGCCAGGCAATGCATAAGGTTCTATACATACACATTCCTTAATATTATAATATATTCACAATATACTCATGACTATTTCCTCTACTGAGAGATGTATTGATTTGATTTTCCAGATGCTCCCAAGGATGTCCAGCTAGTTATTTTAAATGATCTGCCCATTAAGGAAGGAGATACCATCACGATGAACTGCTCTTTTGGCAGTAGTAAGCCCAACGATAATTGGTACAACTGGTTTAAGTCAGATCCCTCTACGATTGAATATAAATATAGTGGTCCAAATGTAATGACCTACCCTGCAACGCATGGACCTTACAACACTTCTTATGAATGTGAAGTATGCAACAGGGTTGGCTGCACTGCATCGCCAGTAATCACGTTGGAGATCTTCTGTGAGTAACACGAATGAATTTACAAGTTTGAAAACTTGAATCGCCAAAGAAAGGAAATACAATAATGCGCCCTAGAAGACATTGGGTTTTGCAGGGAGGAGACTAAACCAGTTAGAGAATGCATAACTATGGTCAGGAGATGTGATGGGTGGCGGCCTGAATGTTGGTGTTCTCTATAGCAGTGTTTTCAAGCTTGACAGCTTGAAGATGTGTGAACTTGAATTCTGGGAGTTGAGGTTCATAATCTTCAAGTGGCCATGGTTGAGAAATACTGATCTGTGGGGATTCCTTCCTATGGAAATGGCCTCCTATGGAACAGAAGGGATGAGATGCCCCTCCCCCAACTCACTCTCATGGATTTTCCAGAGTCTCTTTTAAGGGTCCTTGAGGTAAGATGTCATTTTACTGTACTATAGTATAACAATTTGAATACCTAAGAGCTGTAATGGCGCAGTGGTTAGAATGCAGTACTGCAGGCTAACTCACGGCTCACTCCAAGAGTTTGATTCTGACAAGGTTCAGCCTTCCATCCTTCTGAGGTCGGTAAAATGAGGACCCAGATTGTTGAGGTCAATATGCTGACTCTTTAAACCGCTGTAGAGAGGGGTGTAAAGCTCTACGGAGTGGTCTATAAGTCTAAGTGCTATTGCTATTGCTATTTTGTACACTTGGACTTTTCTGCAGTAGAATTAACATGGGTTATAAGGTGGCATCATTTTCCAGTGCTCAGTCCCCGATGGTGATATGGAAGGAGCAGGTCATTTCCACGGGAATCTTTTGCTTCATTTTTGTCTTCTAGCTGTTCCCAAGGGGGTGAAAATTCTGCAAAGGCCAGAAGGGAGCATCCATGAACCTGCCTTGGTTTATCTGAAATGTGAAGTAGAAATAGCAAAGCGCATGGATCTGACTTTCACCTGGTATAAAAATGAAGAACTGCTGGATAGTACAGACCATATGCTGGTCTTCGTAAAAACAAATCCCAGCCATTCAGGCATCTATCACTGTGAAGCTGAAAACAATGTCGGCAGATCACGCTCCCCAGCTTTTACACTGCATGTACTTTGTGAGTAATCATTGTTCATACATCTAGTTGTTAGGCTTGAGACATCGTCAGTCATTAATTTCTCTTCCATCTCTCTTTAAAACATACTTTTTGTATTTTTCTTCTGCAAAAAGTGAACAATTGCGATGAGTTTGCATGTGTTTCTTCTTAAAATAGGCAATTTCCTCTTAATTTCCCCCTAAAATATGCATTCTCATAATCTAGACCCTTTTCTGGGGTTGCCCCAAAAATGCCTCTAGGTATAAGTGCCATTTTAGGGTGCGACTGATACTCTGTTCTCTGGGAGTAGCTAGCTACCAAGCCTTATTTAATGGATGTCTTTTTCCAATGCTTCTCTTTATTTCCCGATCTTGTAGTAGTAACTGGTAATCTGTTGCTCTTTGAGATTGTAAAATCTGTCATTATTTTAATGGCTCACAAAATAGTATTTACTTCTTTCCTTCCATTATACTGTACTTGAAGCTTCAAAGCATTAACCTTTGAGGAACAGAGGAATCGATAAAGACTCTGACATGGAGGATGAATGGGCCCCATTGGAAGACTTGGAGGAAGTGAAATGGAGAAGAGAGGAAAAGAAAGAGAATGCATACTATTTTCTTGTGAATTTGGATTTATTTTACTTTACTTTCTGTGTTCATTTTAACTGTTACTTGAACATGTTTTTAAAGAAAGACTATAGTTTTTTTAAAATAAAAAAGGACATTCTAAGAATCAGTGTTGTTGTGCTCCTTATATTGCTAAAAACTAATAAGAACCAGAAAGGTTTTTTTTTTTATACAGAAGGTTGCCTATTTGCAATCTAAACAGTCACATGGTCCAATCAGGGCTCTGTCCGGTTGTCTGGTAACTTCACTCCTCCTCTCTCTGTGCCCCCTATGGGAATGTCCTTGGTTCCCAGGGGAAAGTCTTTTGTTTTGGCTACAAACCCCCACTATCTTCATTCCCTGCTCCCTATCCTTCAGCTCCAATATGGCAACACTGAAGCTTCAAAATGACTTTGCTCAGGTCAGCTTTAGGGTAGACATATTTACTGAAATAATTTAGTAAATACTACTTGAATAGTATTGCAAATAACAACAATAACAACAACAACATTAATCAATATAATTGAAGGCTGATCTCATTGATGTCAGAGCATAGAGCCACGGTGGCTAGAGTGCAGTATTGCAGGCTACTTCTGCTGCTCACCGGTAATTCAGCAATTCAGCAGTTTGATTCTCACCAGCTCAGGGTTGACCCAGCCTTCCATCCTTCTGAGGTTGGTAAAATGAGGACCCAGATTGTTGGGGGCAGAGGTGGTATTCAGCAGGTTCTGACCAGTTCTTGAGAACCAGAAGAGGAAATTTTGAGTAGTTCGGAGGACTGGCAAATACCACCTCTGACTGGCCCCGCCCCCATCTCTTCTCTGCCTCCTGAGTCCCACCTGATCGACTGGGTCTTCTTTTGTTGCCCTACACAGGAGAACAGAGCTGGAAAGCAGGTTAGTGGGGTGGGGAGGGAATGGGGATTTTGCAGTGTCCTTCCCCTGGAGTGGGATGGGAATGGAGATTTTACTACCACGTCCACCAAGCCACGCCCACCAACCCACACCACACCCACCAAGCCACACCCACAGAACCGGTAGTAAAAATTTTTGAATCCCACCACTGGTTGGGGGCAATATGCTGACTCTGTAAAACTGCTTAGAGTGGGCTGTAAAGTACTACGAAGTAGTATGTAAGTCTAAGTGCTATTGCTATCCAACCCTGAATAATGCTGTCTCACCAATAGCCACTTTAGGACTAGGAGCTGGTATGAAACTTTACAGAGAAAATAATAGTATAATATCTTCCTATCCCAGATCCTTGGAAAGGGCTTGATAGTGGATAAAAATGTTATATCCAGTAAACAACTGGCTGACTATACGACGACCCATAATAATAAGAGGAACTGAAAGAAGAAAAAAGAAAAGAACAACAAAAATGTGCAAGAAAAAGAAAATGAAAGTTAAGAAATACAGAAATGATTTCCAAACTTCATTTCAATAGATAATTATAATGGGGGTTAATAGTGAATGTTTTGGGGAACGTGGATTTAATCATAGCCTTTCCCCAGCTTGGTCACTGTTTGTCACAAACAGGTTAAACTATTTAAAAATCCAACCCAATCCAGAAAGCGTTCATTGTTAAATTGCAGTTGCCAAACAATACTTTTCTGAAGAGATATTAAAATCATGCACTTAATTCAAATTATCAAGCATCACTTCAGAATTTTTAAATTGCACCATTTTGCAGCTTCAGGTTTTCTGGTATTTCCTGTCTAAATTAGATATGGGAAGTGGGTGAAATTAAATGAAAACTATTTTTACCCCCCCGAAGCTTCTCTTTTATTCACTGAATGAACCTGCTAAATCTAACAGATCGTTTGCAAATCTGTATGGAAAGAAGAACTCTTTCTGAACATCATTTGTAGATAGATTAGTATTGAATAGAATAGAATAACAGAGTTGGAAGGGACCTTGAAGATCTTCTAGACCAACCCCCTGCTTAGGCAGGAAACCCTACACCACTTCAGACAAATGGTTATCCAACATCTTTTAAAAAACTCCCAGTTTTGGAGCATTTACAATTTCTGGAGGCAAGTTGTTCCACTGATTCAAGTTGTTCTCCCTGTCAGGAAATGTCTCCTTAGTTTTTGGTTGCTTCTCTCCTTGATAAATTTTCCTCCTGTTGCTTCTTGTCCTGCCCTCAGGCGCTTTGGAGAATAGCTTGACTCCCTCTTCTTTGTGGCAGCCCCTGAGATACTTTTGTTGAAGCAATTGGATTTTTTGTAAATGTTATAGAATCCTAAAACTGACGGTCATTTGAAGGTCACTGAAACTAGCACTCTGTCACTGGTCAAACATCTCAGAGAGATAGCCTTCCATCTTCTCTTTGAAGACCTCTCCTTTGAGAACTCATCATTTCCAGCGGCAGCCAGATAATCCTTAGCTGTCCCAATCTCTCTCTTTAGGTTCACTCAATGAAGAATCCTGTTCCCTGGTGCCCAGCTCATCTTTTAAATTTCTGGCCACCATTAAACAGGAGGAGTAAACGCTCTTAAACTGCTGGAGCTACCAAGATGAAACCAAGCTTGACCTTAGCGGATGCGCTCAGATCTTGTGTCACTCGAGGGTGGCAAGAAGGAAGTCACAGTGACAGATGTGCTGAGCTTGGAGACACAAGCTTTTGGACCGTCACAGAGGAAGGAGTACAACGAGGAGCTGGTTCTTCAGAAGCAGCTCACCTTCCAGAACCTCAACCTTCCAAGACCCAGTATGATCTTTAAGGCAAGTAATGATGTGTGAATGGGCTTGCCTGTTTTATTTTCTAACTTTAGTAGCATGAAAAAAAAATCAGCCTGATAAACACAAATATCACCTCGAGTTTTAATGGATAGGGTGGCTAGAAAATAGCTCCAAGAAAGAAACAGCTACGAAATTGAAAACTAAACTGCAACAGAATCACTCACAGAGTGAAAAACCATTCTTAATTGGCATATTTTCATAAACACCCTTTTTTTTCTTTATAATCCGGTGTTGCCAACTTTATTAATGAACTTTCGTATCAGTTAGTGATACCTACAATTTGTATTCTGCTGTCTTTCCCTAGGTTTAAACTGACAATGAGGTGCTTCTTATGGATGCTGTTCCTTCCAGGTAACTGTTGTAAATGTGTGTATAACAAGTGTGTGTTTGTGTGTGTCTGTGTGTGTTTAGTATGTTCTGTCAAGGGAGAAAAGGGAATTTGAGCTACGTTAGATCGTAACAGCAGAGAGTTGTTTGGTGAAGGCTGCAAAAAATAGATTGATTTGCCCTTAGGGCTTGAGGGATGTAATAACAGGGATCATTCAAGATTCAGAATGCCAAATGGCCGAATGGATGGGTAGAAATAAAGCTATCACGTCTTATCTTGTGATATAACATTCTGCTTTATGAGTTCACTGTAAGATATTCTTTGCAAAAGATTTTGTTACTATGAGTTTTTTTTTTAAAGAACAGAACAGAATTACAGAGTTGGAAGGGACCTTTGAAGGTCGTCTAGTCCAACCCCCTTGCTCAAGCAGGAAACCCTATACCAATTTAGACAAATGGCTGTCCAGTTTCTTTAAAATCTTCCAGTATTGGAACATTCATAACTTCTGAAGGCAAGCAGTTCCACTGATTAATTGTTCTGGCTGTCAGGAAATGTCTCCTTAGTTCTAGGTTGCGGCTCTCCTTGATGAGTTTTCATCCATTGCTTCTTGTCCTGCCCTCGGGTGCTTTGGAGAATAGCTTGGCTCCCTCTTCTTTGGGGCAGCCCCTCAAGTATTGGAAGACTGCTACTCTGTCACCCCTGGTCCTTCTTTTAAATTCAGCTTCTTCTATAACTAGGAAAGTTGGCGTAGATTTAACTTTCTAGACTTAATCTGCTGCATTCACATGCTTTGTGGGCAGGAAAAAAATAAATTCAATTTGTTCCATCGGGCTATTCGTGATATTTTCATAATTTAATTGTAGAATTTTAGTTTGTTGAGATTTTTTTTACTTTTGCTATCGAAATAAACAGACATGAAGTTAAAGTAACTTCTGGACCATGACAAGAAATTTAATAATTTTCAAAATCTTTCTAAGAGTGGAGTCAAAAACAATTTATTTGAGAATGTTATTGATATATCACATGCTTTTTTCAAACAGTAGCTTCCCTTGAAAATCTCCCACACAAATGGTTTCAAGATTGCATAAGTGTCAAAACAATCACAAAATGTGCATTACATGACAAATGTCAAGGCGAGGTTGGATCTTCCTTTCTAAGAGGGGTGGTGATGGCAAGTAAACCCACTAAAATAGTAAAAGTGAAATAAATAAGAACAACCCCAAATCAAACAAAAATAATAATATTATGTAATCTGGGTCTGAGGGAGATAATTGAAGGAAGTTCAAGAGTTTATTCGTAGCAATAGCAATAGCACTTAGACTTATATACTGCTTTACAATACTTTACAGCCCGCTCCAAGCGGTTTTCTTTCAAGCAGCATTGTCTTCTGCCCAAGGATATTTACTCATGTAGTAGGCTGTATTGTGATTATCCTTGTCATCTTCTTGTCTTTCATGCCACTCATCTTTTTACTACCTTCTCCTATTGGTATCTTATGATTTGTCAACTGTTGTATCTTATGATTTATGATATGTTGTATCTTATAATCTTATGATCTATGATGTATCACTTCATTGTTTGTGTGTACACTGAGAGCTCATGCACAGGAGACAAATTCTTTGTGTGCCCAATCACACTTGGATCCTATCCTATCCTATCCTATCCTATCCTATCCTATCCTATCCTATCCTATCCATCCCATCCCATCCCATCCCATCCCATCCCATCCCATCCCATCCCATCCCATCCCATTCCATTCCATTCCATTCTATTCTATTCTATTCTATTCTATTCTATTCTATTCTATTCTATTCTATTCTATTCTATTCTATTCTATTCTATTCCATTCCATTCTATTCTATTCTAAAATTTCTATTCTACTCTGCTCTACTCTTTCTTCTAAATTGGTGAGCTTTGGGATTATTGCATGTTTTTCTTTGTAATGCAACTCCCTCTGAGCCTCTCAACAGCTTCTTGGAAATTATTTTCAACTTTGTGATGAAGGAGCAGTGACTAGAATGGAAATGGAAAAACCTCCCTGGAGGAACCAAGCTATGGCTCGATCATTGCATTTCTTTATGATAGTGTCACTTTTTTTCCACTTCCAAACCGTGAGTAAAATCTGGGATGGGATGGAGGGTTTTCCCCACAGAAGTACGAAAACACTGCTGACTTGTTGCTTTCTCGGTGCATTTTGTTTTGAGAGGTAAGGAGATGGATCTTAATCAAACATCATTATTTGATTCTCTTTTCAGGTTGTTTAGGTAAACCATTATCTGTGACACCCCAACTCCTAAATGTTTGGGAGGGATCTTGTGTGGTCATTTCATGCAACATCGAAAAGGAGTATAACAGTCGATCTATCAACCATGCGTCCTTTGCTTGGTATTTTCAGCCTTCATTTGATAATACCCTAAATGATTACAGTGGAGTGCTCTTATATAACAGCAACCAGACAGCAACTGAAGTCAGTTTTGAGTTTAGTAATCGAGTGAAATTTGTGGGTGATTTGGGAAGCAAAAACTGCAGTTTGAAAATTTCCCAGCTCCGCCTAAGTGATAAAGGCATTTATGGGATCAGACTTTATTGGATAGCTGGAAAGTTGCAAACTCAAAAGAAATGGCTCGAAAAACTAGAAATTATTGTTCATGGTAAGTACTTCCGAGAAAATTATCTCTTCCCCTCTTTCTCCCATCTTTATTGGTACTAAAACTTGCCTTTGCAAAATATCACCAGTAAACTTTGGACTTGCAACTTCCGGTCTATAAATGATTGCAGGTTGTTAATTCAAAGGATGCAACAAGAAAATAGTGTTTTCCATCTATGGATACTTCACATACTCTGTTCTCCTAATTCAGCAGAAGGATGTGCTCAGTAGATTGGTCATATTTTCTCAAGTGGAGATGAAAGATTGTTCAGAAGCTATCTTCTGCCTTACCATGACCACTTGACTGGTGCACAGTTATAATATTTTGGTTTATTGTCCACCCATCTTTCCAATCAAGAGGTGCCCAAAATCCAAAATCTTTTTAGATATGATTACTGAATTATAATTGTTAATGTGATATTGTGGGAGGGGTAAATATATATTAAATGTAAAACAGTTATTTTGGCTTTTCTTTCTCCACTCCACTTTCTCCACTTCAATCTGAGTACATGATAAAATACTGGCTTGAACATGGTAGATTTCTAAATTAATAAATTATCTCTTTAAAAAGCAATTCAACTTTGTTCAACATTTGTGTAAAATGTTTTCTTTCTTCAATTATCTGATTGCAGAAACCCCTTCAGAACTGATAAAAACAGTGTCCCCAGAAATGACAGAAAACAACAAGTATACAGTGGCATGTTCAATACCTTATCATTGTTATGATGAGCCCATAAAATTGTCTATCCAAGGATTAGAAGATCATCTTGTGTTGCCCCCAAAAATTACCACTGAAAACCAGACAGTACAGACTGAACAGTCTTTCACTGCCACTTGGAAGGACCATGGGAAACAATTGACATGTTTGCTAAAAACCCTTGGGAGAGAAATAAAGAAACCATTTGCAAATCTGATGGTAAAATGTGAGTGTATAATGGGATAAAAGCTGATGCAGGGGTCAAGGGTATACCTAGGATATGACCAAATTGGCAAGATGGTGGACACAATGGGGTTGATCAAAGATTTGTCTATTTTTAAGGACATCCATGGCAAAGGTGACATACGGAAAGAATACTTTGTCTAATATGAATAATGAAGGGTGGACAACTCAAGTTGTTTGCTTTGGTACACAGAAGAATCTCTATGTGTAAAATAAAGACCTTTAGCAATCATGACCTTCAAAAATTTATGTCTCTGTTTTCTAGAAATTTCAGGGAAAGGGTTACAGATTCCATGGCTGTGTACACACACATCACAACCAATTATGTAACAATCTAGGACAGGGGTGTCAAACTCACGATGTCCTGGCAGCATTACGTGAGGTATCGCAACTTTTTCCCCCTTTGCTATACCGGGCGTGGGTATGGCCAGCGCGTGACGCATCCGGCCCGTGGACCATGGGTTTGACAGCCCTGATCTAGGAACTGCATTCAGAAAACAAACAAGCTAGTTTGTTTGATTTTTATGTCAGCTAGTTATAGTTTGGGCGGGAAAGAGACTTGCTCTGATGATAAAATGTATGTTTAGGTCTAGTTTGCTGTATGAATCTAGAAAAATGGTTTTAATTCAATATCTAAATAAGTATATTGTTTATACCAAACTAATGCCTGCTGAGAAGCCTAAAATGCATGGCTTGTTATTTTGATGCTTCATATAATAATTTCATTCTTCTATTAGAGACAATATTCCAAATTAGGCACAAGGCTAAAAACATCCTACAGCAGGGTCCCCAACCACCGGTCCGCAGACCGGTACCGGTCCATGGAACAAGTCCTACCAGGCCGCTGGTTTGCTGGGCGCCGCCATCTTTTTTTGATG